AACAGTGCCAAGTTTAGGCAGGGCAATTGTCAGGAAAAAATGAGATGATGTACATAAATCCCTTGTCATAGAGCTTGGCATGTGTGTTAGAATCCTGTAGATTTTAGCTAATATTAAAGAGTCCTGATTTACATCTCCATCTACTAAACCATAATGTTTTTATACGTGATTATATACAAGTACACATATGCACATAAACCTAACCTCAAATAAATGAATTAAAATTATTCCCTTGGTTACAGTTAGTGTTAGACTATGTATTGCTGAAAGTTTACCTCAATATGGTAATATATATAATGAAAAAATAGTTTTCATATCCAGTAAGGTACATCTGAGCCAAAGCACAAACTGAATAACACAAATCTGATTTCCACAGTGTTTTCTCATTCAGAAATTAAAAATTTGATGGAGACTGTGATGTTATCAGTTTTAAGTAACATTTCACCCATCATTCCCAAATAGTATAAAACGGGAAAGTACAAGAAGCTCATCATGTATTTCTCCATTTCCAGAACTTATTTATTCAACCAAGAAAAAAATTATATAGATTATGCCACACTCCAGGCAGTTGTGAGTGTGTGCTTGTGTGTATGCATATGTGTATGCATGCAAAATCAGAGTTTAGTAGAATTAAAATAGTTAGAAATGCTGAGGATTCTTTAAATGTGCTAAATTTGGAGAATGTAGACTAAAAGGAAATTTCAGTAACTAACAACCATCTAAACATATGTGTCAACACAATATGCACACATACACACACACGTACACATACACAATCCTGTACAAGGACAGTTAATCCTAGTAAAGAATACAACATAGTTCACAAAGATGTCCAAGTCAAACCCTGACTTGAAAACCCCAACTTGAAGAGAAAGTTAAGTATTACATGGTAAGACTCTGAAACAGAAAAAAAAATCAATGGATCTTAAATTACAATCAAGCAAGAAAGCCAAGTAGGGGCTAAGTGTGGCCACTTACTCAGGAGTGAGAGCCTGGAAGATAAGCTAAAACATTTCATTGTCTTGGTCTTTACAGAAGACATTAGGAAGATTCTCACTTGAACCTGCTAGACAGGTGGTTAGAGATCAGATAGTGGTAAATGAACAGGATGTTCCATTTAAGGGTTGATAATGTAAGATACAGAGAAATCACAGGAACCAGTTGATTTTCTTGTACTCTGAAAGAAACTCAAGGATATCAACTGAATTCAGCTTAAAATGTCCTTAGCCACAAGCTGTAGGGTCAGAGAACTCCTGTCACACCAAGCAGAACCTCTTGCATCAAAGTATAATGAGAAAGTTAGCATGGACTTGTTAAGTCCCAGCACATGAGAAACTGCACAGGAGACCATTCTGTAAAGGTGGAGCAAATTAAGAATAAGTAGCACTGTAGCACTGTCCTCCCATTGTTCATCAATTTGCTCGAGCGGGCACCAGTAACATCTCCATTGTGAGACTTGTTGTTCAATTTCTCCACCACTCTTGCCAGAGAGCCCGACAAGCTACCGAGAGTATCTCACCCACACGGCAAAGCCTGGCAAGCTACCTGTGACGTATTCAATTTGGCATTTAACGTATGCCAAAAACAGTAACAGCAAGAACAAGTAATGAGAAAAAATGATCTTTAGCAGTATATAGTAAGCTTAAATCATTATCCCCAAAGATGTGAGTTAAAATGATAGATTCCTCCAAAGTTGAGATCAACCCAAAGATGACACATCCAAAATGGAAGAAGGACTTTCATGGGCAATGGCAACAGGCTCCAGTATACAGACCTTTGAAAATGACACTGAAGAGATAAACAAGTACTCCCCATGTTTCCTGCTACCTTTGGCCAGGCCTCTTTCATAACTCCTATAAACCAACAATTCATCTCTCCTTTATAGAAAGTTTGCTTTCTGTCCTGGATTTTTGGTCTTGCACATACTAAAAGCCCAGTGAAGAGGACTGTGCTTCTGTGTATGATATGTCATCACAGTTTGGTTCCTTTGTCTTCTCTTAGCAAGGGCAGAGTACAATGTCTTCTGCAGAGCCAACAAACAGACACTGTACCTGCCCAAGGCAAGAGAAAGAGTGAGCTCACACTTCTCCTTCAGCTCCCAGAAACACTAAGTGTTCTCAAGGGATCAAGTGTTGCCAGAGCCACATCCCCTCTCTCTCTGTCCTAATAGGCCTGTCGGTCCCCATGGAAGTGCTGATGAATTCTCCACCATAGACCATGGGGAACACTGGGGAAGGAAGCAATTTCTGTAAACAATAATCCACTTATAAATTCCTTTTTCCATCTGTCCCCCCAAATAAAAATAAGTGCAGGCTTTGTGACCTCCTGGAATAGGACATAATATATAAAACATGCCAAGATGAGCACATTATGGTATTATTATGGCCTAAAAGAGACAAGGATCTGGGATTTGTAGTGTAAGCACACCAAGACAATCTCCTTAATCATGTGTGCTTAAGGCTGTGAAGGCTACCCCTACTTTAAATTAAATGAATGTATATGTGGAAGCCCTCTAATTTCCAGGTCATGTGCCTTAGCAATTCCAACACAAAGACCACGTTAATGTCAAAAGACCATATTCAGCGAGCTATCTGTCTTCAAACATTTGGAAGTTGGCACTAGTCTGAAACAACATGGTAACATGACCCTGGGAGAGAAATATGTTTTCAGTTACAAGAGGGCCCAGCCCAGCTCTTCCTAAATAGGAACTTGGCAGTGGGATGAGTTGGGCTGAAGGGGATGTCCTTGGCTACAGAGGTGAGGCCCTTCAGGGTCCTGAAGAAAGTTGGACAGAATTTCTCCCTGCTGGTAATAACACTGAAGACTCAGAGTCACATTTGTTATATTAATTTTCTTGACAGACAGCTTGAGTTACCATGCAGGCACCACAAAATCAAAACATACCCATGGCAAGTACCCCATCTGTGGCAGGGCCTTGCCAAGGCCCATGTTGCAGGAACACAAGGAGGTAAAGCCCAGCTCTTTGGACCATGTGCTCAGTCCTGTGGGCAATCCCCTGCCGGATGAAAACTCTAGCATTTGGCTGAATGGGCCAGAGGAGCGCTCTTGGTGACAAGCCTTCATCCGGAGTCTGGTCTCCTTGCACTGACTGCAAGAGCCCTGGAGACACCAGGGCTACATCTGGTTGTCTGTCTTGTCTGTGCTAAGTCCAGCCCAACAGACCTCCCTGTCGCCTCCATTATGTCTACACTCAGTTTTGTCCTGGCAGGGTAATAGCTGCCTGGATTAAATATGTTTCCAGGAACACACGGATCCTACTTGTGAGTTACATCCAGGCCGGAAGTTGTGTCAGGTCAAGCAGTTTGGGCATCCATGTGCACAGAAGAGTTTTTGCTCAAGTTATTGCTAAAGTGATTGATGTGGCTCCAAAGCAATCTGTTCTCTTCCATAGAGTGATGCTAGCTCTCTATTGCCGACTAAAGGTAAATTAGGAGGGCACTAAGGGAGGGACATAAGGAAAACAATCCTGTTCTGAGTGATGACTTTCCTTGTGGACTTCTGGGAGGGCATCTCATGGAAACAGTCGATCTGCTTTCCCATTCTCCCCACCACTTCTTCCCACTGCAGCCAAGGTCATTTCCTCAACTCTACCCAAGAGCCTTTGTGCTGATGCTGGATGTTCCAGGTATGGTGGCCAAAATCTGAAGATCCCACATCTTTGAATTCAGGGCTCTTGGCCCCCTTGTGAAACCTCCTGGTGACATACTACCGATCCACCACATCCACTGCTAATCCCACCACTGCTACTCAGGATAGGAAATGTCAATAAATGTGTATATAACAGGAAAGGGCTGGAGCGATAGCACAGCGGTAGGGCATTTGCCTTGCACGCAGCCAACATGGCCGACTCGAGTTTGATTCCTCCACCCCTCTCGGAGAGTCCGGCAAGCTACTGAGAGTATCTCGCCCGCATGGCAGAGCCTGGCAAGCTACCCGTGACGTATTCGATATGCCAAACACAGTAACAACAAAGTCTCACAATGGAGACGTTACTGGGCCTGCTCGAGAAAATCGATGAACAGCGGGAGGACAGTGTTTGTTATAACAGGAAAGAGAATGCAAGTCCAAACCCTGACCTAATTGTCAGCAAGGTCAAATTATCCACGGTCCATCCTAACTATGTAAGCTTTACCTTGTTGTGTTACCAGGACTGTCAGAGTTAAGCCTAATCCAGGAACAAGTGTTTGTGCTGTCAATCTCTTGTGATACAAAAGCTCCCTCTAAAAGGGAGACTGTGCCCACAACACAATATCCTGGAAACATGATGTCCCTGGCCCGGCCTGTAAGGACAGCCAAGTCTTTCCGAGCCTAAATTAGTCCTGCAGGTAGGAGCCATCTTGAAGGATTGGGCAAGACTGTTCATTCAGCTCTGTGGGGCGGACAGGCTGACAAGAACATGAGCATATCCAGACCGCCAGTCTCAGGACGCGAAGGGCACTGCTGCCAAGGACTTGGTTCATCATTTCACTTTCCATTCAAATAACCATGGCATGTCAGCCTTGCTGGCCTCCTTGATTGTGCAGAAATAAATAAATGAATTATGTTGTTGGGGTTTGGGCTTCGGCACAAACACATGGTCTGCATTTATCCGCACAGTGAGAGGTCCACCAGCCACTTGATGTAAAAAAGCAAAATGATAATTCTTTTCTTTAGGCGCTCTGGTGCCATATGGAATGTATATAAATCATATTTTTGTTTTAACAGCGGAGGCTTTGTTGATAGATAAACATGTGGTTTATCTAAAAAAAGAGAGGATTGTGCTTTGAACAATCATTTAATGGCCGTGGATGTGCCAAATAAAAATAAAAACATAATTTTGAAAGAAGTTGGCTGTGTGCCCAAATCTGTAACAAGGAATTTCTCCTTAACCAAAGTGGATAAAGCCCCTCGATCTGTTTTGAGTTTAAGCTGTGCTCTCTACTCAACCCCACGACAAATTGAATCCGGGGCTAATATGCTCTAATAGGACAAGACGTTACCTTTATGAATGACCTCATGGAGAAGAGGTTGGCGAGCATGGTGGAGAGGCCTTGGGCCAGGCAGCTCTGGGCTATGAACCCCAGCTTGAGTTCTGCAAGGCAGATTGCATCATCACCCTCTTTCCAATTCCAGCTTGGAATGTTTAGCAGATGGGCCTGTGTAAAGAAAAGCAGGTATGAGACCTTACTTTGTTAAATGTTTGATTGTTTAAAATCACTTTGGGGAAATGCAACATTGCCCAACCACTCAGGGTCATCTAGAAGCATCCTTTGTTCCCCTGATCTGGGACTAGTGGTGGATGTTTTGATCAGTCTCTTCTACTGGTCAGAATTCAGTCTCTCTGGAACATTTCTTTTTCACCTTCCAAGCTCAAGGCTTCCCCCTTGGGTTTCTCATTTAACCAAATAGAGTCTAAAGAGAATGTCCTTTTGGTACAGAGATTGCATCCATGCTACTAGAATGTCTGGCTAGGTCGTTCATAAGTTGACAACTTGAAAAGAGTATAAGACTGTCAGATGCATGTGTATATTTTAGATTTATTTTCTATCTGTCCCTGTCCCCAATGATGAATTAATAGCTACCATATTTGAGCAGGTATCAGTCAACTGGAGGACTTGAGCAAACATAAATTCCTAAGCCCTCTTCCAAAGTTTACAATTCAGTAGACATGGGTTGAGTGGTAAATTTGGATTTCTAACAAGTTGGAGGTCTTGCTGTTGCATATTTAGGACCACACTTGGAGAAGCACTGCCCTAATCATCAGACACATCAGAGTGCAGATGTGCTATAATCTGCTGCAGATGGGCTGATTCTATTAAACAATAGGTTGGACCCTGTGATAAGGACCCATAGACTTGCTCATCAAGTTAATTTCAAGTGGTAAGAAGCAAGGAATCATAGATGTTATGCAGAATTATTTTTTTAAATGAAGATTAAAAAACTTTTCCAGAGTTGGTAAAATAATCCAACCAGATAAGAAAAGGAAAAATTTAATTTAAAATTATTAAATCTTAGAATGAGAGAACCAATCTTGGAGGAAGAAATGAGGACAAAGAAAAACTTAGTTGTATGGATAACCAAATATCAGTCATGTGACAGAGTATGAGAAATCCAAAACTTGCTTGAGAAAAATGGTCTCCAGATAAAAGGAAATGAATTATTTTTTGTACTGTTGGAAACTGGAAAATCTTGTTTCAGGCTACTTGATTCAGCTGTAATTGTCATACTTTAAAAAGGGAAACTTATTATGGAAATAACTTCTAGAGAAAATGGAAACACAAAGGGCATAGGACAGGTGAGGACTCTGGGAAATACCATCTGAAAAATGGTCAGGAGACCTAACAGTGTTTATGCTGATGTAGGACCACACTGTTTTGAAGATCTCGGGTGCTGCTATGTGAATAAGAGAGATAGGTTTCCCCGTTTGGCTTGGGACTGGGGTCAGGGTAAAGTGGAAAATTAGGACTAGATGGTATGTACTATGAGAAATAAGTTTTGGGAGCTTGTTTTATACAAAACTTTCTATTTTTATTTAGTGTGATGTGTGGGGAGGGATTTTGGCCATACCAGGCTATGTTCAAGGGCTATTCCCAGCTCTGTGCTGAGGAGTGCCTTTTGGTGATTCTCAGGACCCATAGGAGGTACTAGGGACTGAGCTAAACATGATTTGGCTGCATGCAGATATAAAGGAACTTTCTAAGGAAGTAATTTGTCTAGTAGTTTAAAGCTACTTTCAAGAAAGCAAAGTCTTTGTCCCTACATTTTAGAATATGTTTTCCAAGTCCCAATATAAAGATTTCTTATTTTGCCAGGAGTTCAAATGAGAAAGTTAAGGCCCAAACTTTATGGCCTGAAAGCCATACTTCTCCCCATATATGAGCAAACACAAGAAATACCAAGGAGGACTCCTCTCATTTTCAAGACAATAAAATGGTTGTAGTTGAAGGAGTTGGAAGACTCCACTGTGGAATTAAGTTCAATGGCTCCAAGTTCTGCTTTCAGAAAAATCCCTCATAAAATTCCTTCTTGCAAAGTACAATTAGTTGTGTGACAATCTTGTGAGCTCTAACTCAGTAGTCTTTACTCCTGGGAAAGATGACCAGAACCTTTCTATTGGGACAATGTGTGTGGCCACAGAAGATGGAACTTTCTATCAAGTTGAGTATCAGAGACTTTCCCTCATCAGACATTTGATTCCAGCAATTAGTCTTGCTGTGTATCCAGTTTCTCTTCTTCTCTGGCTTAGGAAGGCCACTTTTCCCCTTACTTCCCTGACATTGTAGAAAATCTATCAATCTAAATGAAAAAAGACTCATTTATATTAACATCATCTGAGAAGAATGATAAATTAAATCTAAGTAATGAACAAGTAAATCATCAAGTGTGAAAAGAGATTTGGGTGGTCCAAATCCCAGACAGACGCCACAAAACTTTCGTGGCACCTTCAAGCAAACAAATCCTCTTCAAGAGAGTCTCTCATACTCATACTCCCATGTGTCATTCAGTGTATGAAGTCCAAGCTTTTAGGTCTTGGGTCCTCTCCTGTACCCATCTGGTTTGAGTTCCTCAGATATATTTCACATGTTTATTACACAAGAAAGTCAAGCTTGTTTCATTTCTCGGGCTCCCAAGGCTTCATTTCCTTGACTTATCCTATCTTCTTCCATTTCTGGGTATGAAGCAAGAGAGAGATGCCAAAGGCTGGAAAAAACTCTGCATGAAACAATGAGAAGAGATTCACCAGGAATTAAAATTTTTTATTTCTGGTAATTCTGTCCTGTTTTCAGTCAGAGGAATTTCAGTAGAAAATGTCAGCACTAATGCAATGGAGTCTAAAGCCAAATCCTCTCCACTCTGGAAAATCGGAAGACCCAGATCTCAACAAGAAATGTGAAAAAAGTACTCTTGGGAAATAAACTTTAGTTCTGGTTCCATTTTCCATTACTTAGACAACTATGGGAAAGTCAGTGTGAGGAACAAAGGTCATTTCATATAAAACATTGTATCACCATATGACAGAATAGAATCACAGTGGGATTCAAAGGATTCAAATGGAACTTAGTTTCTGGATCAAAGATGCTCACCACTGCTTACTAATGGTTCTTATTTTTTAATAGTCTACTATCAAAATTATTAGGAGTGACATTTTTCCAGCAGGCCATAAATTATATTCTTCCTACAAGATCTTTAAGTCATTTATGCTCAAATTAGAAATATTCCTCATTATCTTTTCCCCCCTCTATATTTAGAGGTGAAGACTGAGGGTGTTTCTTTCTGTAAGTTCTCTAAATATGAACATATCACTTTGAAGACCATCATCCCATATTTGAAGTCTACTCTGAGGAACTACAGTTGGCCCAGGGGGTTGAAGTTCCATTAAACAGGAAGGTGGAAGTTGGCAGTTATTAGCTCACTGGCTGCTAAGTCCATGAGACATACCCACTAGATCCTCAAAGATAGAATTTAAATTCCCAGTCTAAAGTGACTTTGGGATGCACTAAGCATCAAAGGAGATTAAGTCGAATGATGGATGTTAAAGCTCTTCTAAGGGGCCATAGTCATAATACAGCGGGTAGGGCATTTTCCTTGCATGCGGCCGTCCCAGGTTTGATTCCCAGCATCCCTTATGCTCCCCCAAGCACCACCAGAAGTAATTTTGAGTTCAGAGCCAGGAATAACCCCTGAGCATCTCTGGATGTGACCCAAAAATAAAAAAAAAGAAAAAGCTCTTCTAAAATCATAAGATACAACAGTAAAATCCGAGATCACTGTGATAACAAGTTCAGAAGCAATATTACATGGAGAAGAGCAAGCAACTTCCCCATTTTCTGCTAAGTTCTATTCTACCAACCATTGTTAGGCCACTTGGGAACACAATTCTTCATATTTTTGAGTCCAGTATTAAGGTATTAAATTGACTGATAAAGAGATAAGTTTACACACACATATCATGTTCTTTCCTGAAAGCAAGATTTAATGGCTGGAGATTGCCATTAAAACTTGGGTCATCTAACTGTGGCTTAAGAGAAAGTGCCGGGAGAGAAAGAAAAATAATATTGTAAGAAAAGATAAAGAGGCATATTGGAAAAGTAGGTAGGAGGAGTATCTTAAGAAAATGTGTGAGCTGAAGAGACAGTGAGAGGGTTAAAGTGTTTATCATGTATGCAGTCGACCTGGGTTCAACCCACAGCACCACAGTGGTCCCCTGAGTCCCTCTAGGAGTGATTTCTGAGGGTATAGCCAGAAAGAAGCTGTGAGCACCGCCATATGTGACCCCAAAACAAAAAGTGAAAAAGAAATAAATAGAGGGAGGGAGAAGGGAGAGGAAAAGAAGAAAGGAAGAGAAAGAAAGAAAGAAAGAAAGAAAGAAAGAAGGAAGGAAGGAAGGAAGGAAGGAAGGAAGGAAGAAAGAAAGAAAGAAAGAAAGAAAGAAAGAGAGAGAAAGAAGGGAGGGAGGGAGGGAGGGAAAAAGAGAGAATAAAAGAGAAAGAAAAGAGAAGAAAAGAAAGGGAGAAGAAAGGAGAGGAAGGCAAGAGAAGAAAGGGAGGAAGGGAAGGAGGAAGGGAGGGAGGGAGGGAGGGAGGGAGGGAGGAAGGAAGGAAGGAAGGAAGGAAGGAAGGAAGGAAGGAAGGAAACTGCAAAATTATAAAACTATGTGAACAATGTCCATAAGGAATGAACTGAAAAATACTGGGTAGACTTCTGGTCTTTTTTGAAGATAAGATAAATTAAATCATCAAGCAAAAAGATCTGTATCAAAGTCCCTTGAGCCTTTACTAATACTACCAGTGCAAAACCTCATAAATGAGTTTGCAATAGGTTGGGTGATTTTAAAACAAAATACATTTTAAGTATAAATGAGCTGATATCTTCATCACTATTTTTGAATATAGAGCAGAGCTTTGGAAAAATCACTCAGATTTCTATGGCCATATAAATAGTGACCAGGTACCATCTGTATTCTGGGTCTGTTAAGCTACATAGACTTTGACAAGAATCACATAGTTGAAATACTCCTTAATCTTTTGAATATGGTGCATCAGTGCTTATTGGAAAGAGAAAAAAGAAACTGACGTCCCCATCTAAACATATAACGTTAATTTTTCTATTTCCAACCAAAAATCTAAACAACAGCTTAAAGAACTCCCACATTAAATGAAATTTCAAATCACAAATGAAAGGAGAGTTTGCTGCCTCAGAAGCTGTCACCAGCTGCAGTCTTTTTACAACGAATAAAATTTACTTCTCTCTACAGAAATGATTATCCAAAAAATGCCTCCAGATTAATGTTTATTTGTTACCAAATATCTTCATTTTGTCTCCTCAGTGTCAATATGACCTTGGGTTCCCACCACAAAACCCACTGGCTGGACTGCAACCTGTTTTGCAATGCAACCACCTGCCGAGAGCTGGACAATGGCTGGCACTGGACAGGGACCTGAGGGGCAGGCTGGTGGCCGACAGCAGGCTCCACTCGACAACAGCCTTTGATGGGCCACCAAACAGCAAAATGGGGAGCATGTGCCAGCAATTAAGAAATAATGGCATGGCACTGGTGCATTTGGCAGAACCGTGTCTTCTTGAGTCACCTGACAAGCCTAATTCATAGGGAATATGGCTTCTAAGATGGGATGTATGCTCACTCATAACCCAGCAGGGAGTTATTCTGTTCAGACTAGACACCTGGTTCCAGGTACTGAACAGCCTCTGGTTTGGATGCCTCATTATGGGGATAACCGTTCCATATCAAACAGAGAAAGGTGCCACCTTCCCTCCCCCAAAGCTGTTTTCTTGGGAATTTAATGACCAGCTGGCCAAGTGATTGGACACTGCCTGTGAATGAGAGGCTGGACTTGGGTATATTGAGACCTGATCACCCAGGGAAACAACATAGGCTCAAACATTTGTTTTCTTTCCAAATTCCCTTGAAAACTGTAACACTAGGAAAATATTCCTTTGCTTTTAATTTCTGGATAGCTGATTTCCTGAATTCAGTTTTACCAAATTCTCCATTTGAAGTTGAGATATGTCCCATATTCTGTTCTGTACTCTGCCCAGTTTGTGCTCATTTCTCCAAGTTCACCTGGTCTCCTACACAAAAGTCTTCATACTTTCCTGGGACACTTGGATTGTCCCTAAGTGCTGGACAACACAAAACAGGACTTCTTTCTCACCCCATCCATGGGGAGGGGTTCAGGTAGGGTACGGACCACATAATAGGTATTTAATATATCTTGAAAAGAATAAATAAAGCACACAAAGATAGAAGTTGGGGGCTGGGTCAGCAATGCATCAGTATTTCTGGATCACGAGATACAAAGAGGCTTCCTGAATGAATGATCCGTATATGAAGGAACAACTCTCCAGGGACCAACAACAACAAAGAGGTGTTTGGACTGAGGAAATATCCTGGAAGGTTCTTACCACAGCAATTTCTTCAGAATGTTGAATTGCATGGGTGTGTGTGAGCATACATGTCCATGTGTGGGTTGTTCTGACCAGGAGAAAGATACAGCACCTGGATTTGCATCTCTAAGCCTTGACTGGCTCCCTCCACTTACCTTGTTGTGGTACTGCAGCATCTGAGTGATGATTCTTATCTTCGGATGGTAGTTCTTTATGGAGATTACTCTGTGAAAGAGAAAAATCAAAGCTGAGGCAAGGTCTGCCTTACTCTCTTGGAGCTTGATGAGAAATTTATTTTGATTATCTCCAAATGGAGAAAATGTGGGGCCAGCAGTTGGGACCATCCAGAAGAGATGAGGCATTGGGCCAAGTTGAAATGCATTTCTATCACACCACCCACATTTCACCATCACAGTGCAGTGTGAAAAAGAAACCACACAGCAGCCACAGATGAGCGTTTAAGGCCTTAAAGAAAGAAGGGGCCCTTCCAGGGTTTGGTTATGGCATGTGAGTGTGTGTGTGTGTGTACTGAGGGTGCAGAACCTGGGGCATGGCTTACTGCCTATATAGTCATCTAAATAAATCAAACTCAACTTTACTTAGGGCCAAGAGATGTGTGCAGTCTCCCAGTAAGACTAGAAATAATTTGCTGAGTCCAATTCTCCAAGTTAACAACTTGCAACAACAATGACAAATCAAACAAGCAGTCTGACGAATGATTCTAATTGTCATACACATGGCCACGCTCACAAAAAAAAAAAAAAAAGATTTCTAAGCTGGCTTCTTAGGCTGTGATCAATGACTCAGCTTCCAATAACTAACAGTGTCTAAAGGATGGCTTTAACATTGGTTAGCAGTACATGCCAATGCTTTATGGAGGTCACGATCTCATAGAAAAATTTCCTCAAACTTCTTCAGTCCATATCCCCAAGGTACCCTCTTCCTGTCCTCACCCCAACTCTCACTTCTACTCCCAAGTGTATGACTGCTAAATGGGAAGGATCAGGGAGCTGAGCAGTGGAAACACCTGGATCCCAGTCCCAGCTATTGTGCTATGAACTGGGTGACCTTCAGGAAATCCCTGGGCTCTCTGTGACTGTTTCCTCATCTGGACATTGGGGGCAACAGTACCTGCTTTATTTATTTCACAGGCTTGGTATGAGCAGCAAATGAAAGACCAGATGTGAGAATGCTTTGAAATCACTAAAAGCTCCCTCTATGTGTGAGTTATGGTTTTTGTCATTCCCGGCTCTGTCAGAGGTGACATTGTACATTTCCTTCTATGACAAGGAAGGCTAAAAAATGGAATTCCACAGTAAGGCAGACACTCCTCCTAAGCCTACCCAGATATGCAGTGTGTCTACTCTGACCACCCCCCAACCCCACTTCCCACCATGAACTCTGCTAGCTTCACCTTTATGTGTGTGTGTGTGTGTGTGTGTGTGTGTGTGTGTGTGTGTGTGTAAACAAAGAGAGAAGGCAGCCAAGGGTGGCTCTGTCTAAAAAGCCACCCCTTGTGAATGTAGAAAATGGATCACACAAAAGCCTCTCCCAGCAAAAATTCACCCTGGCTTTTGCACCTGAAGGATTTCACTTTGTGTTTGAAAAAGTGTTATGTTGGCCCATGCTCATTATTCAAGGACTTTGAGTCTCTGTCAACCCTCTGCATTCAGTCAACAGCTTCAGCCAGTTTTCTGCATTAGCTCATTTCAAATGGATCTTTGACATTTTAATTTCAAAAGAGGCAAGTTGGACTCATTAAACTAAGGAGGCAGGAGGATTATACAAATAAAGGAAAGACAGAGCCCATTTTTAACCCTGAGCTTCCCATTTCCCTATGCCTGCTTGTGCATAGTTCTGAGCTCTGGTCAATAAAGGTTTAATTACACATCTGAGAAAACCTTTGCTGAATAGCTTTTATGTTTGGGCATCATAGTGATGACTCTGGTGACCAGTAAGCCTTCATATTAACCCTACTGCAATCATAGCTTAAATAAAATATTGTGATTGAGGGAAATACCCGTTTCAAAGCTATTATATTCATTTCAATTATTCACTGAATTTTTAGAAAATTGTTCAAAGAAATTCCTGGCCCCAAATTTCTCTTTGGGTCAACACATTAAGCTGCTTCTTATTTTTCTTTTTTTCTGTTGCTTGAAAGTTTAAAGATAATAAAGCTTAGTTTTTTAAGAGTACAGATCTACCAAATGACTCAAAAACAAGGTAAATGGAATTCTAGTTCAAACAGGGTCAGTCAGAGCACTCTTAGCCCAGACCTTTGTAATCTCATTCAGCAGTGACACATTAGAGGATGAGCCCAGGTGTGGATCAAGTCCCCACTCATCATCTCCCTGTAGCCTGGCAAGACCTGTGTTTCCATGTAATTGGTTTAAACATGGGCACTGTGCATTTTGCCAAAGAAAGCCTAGTGGAAGAACACTGTGCCAGATGTTGCTGCCAGACACAAGATGATGGGGGAATGACTTGCTCCTCAAAACAGGTGGGAGGGATTTCCCCCCACCTCACTGATTGGAAAGCTCATGCCCATTGGGGCAAATGATAAAAGTAAAGAGAAGGAGATGTGAGCAATTGTAACATTTCCAAGGCAACTTCACAACCGACCATCTCAGGTAGATCAATGCCCAGAACATTGCCGAGACCAAGCTTGGGTGGGAGGTGAGTCTAGCTAGATTGAATGGATGGCTGGTCACAATTAGACATACAGCGGAAGTATAAAACCAAAGTTTTTCTTGACTTATGTTTATCCACAAGATTCTCCTTATTATTCCTTCCCAGATTTCTTACCTAGTCAGCGATTTATACTAGAAAAACAAAACACTGCAAAAGAAATTTAACTTCCAGAGAAAAATGCACACATTTTTAGGCCTTTCATAGTCACAAGATGCCTGGAATATGGTTCTATGAAAAGAATTAAAGTAGAACAATTTTCTTCTGGAAAAAATGACAAAGAAATAGGAGTTGGGCAAAGAATGACATCAAATGGACATAATGTATCTGTATGAATGGCATTGGGAAAAAATGTCCCTCAAGTAAATGTTCTACAAAAAGAAACTGGGGACAGGCTTGCTATCAAATCGGTTTGATATGGTCTCTCAAAGCATTAACTTTGAATTTCCTGTTAGAATAAAAATTACCAGATGACATTTTGGTTAAGAAAACTATATCAATTTGGAAAACTATTTGATGTAAGATAATTGTTTCTACTCCTCTTTGGAAGACGCCAATCCATGTTCTGAAGACATACTTGGAGAGAGCTAACATGGGGCTTTTCAGCTTTGGGGCTACTGACATTTGAAGCTGGATCATTCTCTGTTACAGAAAATGGGTTGATACCTCATGGCCTATTGAGCAGTATGTGGGCAGCACCATCCTCGGTTATGACAATCCATAACACTTGGTGGGGAAAGTGGAGTAACCATCCCTTTAATATAACTCAGGTCTATTTCCCCTTCAGAAATATGGTCCTGAGTTTCCATCTGTGCCCTATCTAAACCTCGTTCCTTTCCTACCTGTCTAAAGTATCTCAAGCACAAGACCAGTGGTGAGACCCAGATCTCCAATTTCAAAGGATAAACCTCCCACTCATGAGGTCTTGAATCATTGACCTCTGCATCCACCACAGTCTCAGCTACCCACACCCCAAAACTTAAGTGTGGGACAAGATATGGGGTGGCTTATGGGTCAGAGAAGGGATACTGCTCTGCAGAGGCTCAAAAAGGGGCAAACATGTGTGACAAAGCATACAGACTAAGGCCTCCCCCGCCTCCCGGAAGTTTACCTCATGATATTGGAAGCATCTTCAGCATCCGGGTCAGCGCAGTACTTATTGGCAAGGATTAGGCAGGCATCTGCTGACTCTATCTAAGACACCAAAGGAAAAACACCAAACATAAACTTAAAAATAGTCATGCTTGGTTGCAGTCTCTCTCTGCTGACAGTTCTTGGGGAACCTGGTGCTTTGCAAGGGGAAAAAAAGAACTAATCCCAGGAGATTATAGTTTTTGTCAAAAGTGTAGGTTGTAAGTTCTTGTTATGGTATAAACATTTCATCTTGTTGCTGTTGGAGGGAAACAACATGTACCTTGGTAATTATACTTTTCATTTTGCATAGTCGCTTACATGTAAGCTTTCCAGATTTCTTTAAATAACTAATTAGGCCTTTCAATTCCTCGCTGCCTCCTTCCAAGCTGTCTGCACAATTTTCCCCAATTTTCCTGGTCAGGAAATACAGGAAGGTGGGCTAAATCCTCCTCTCAGGTTGGCAAGGTAACTGAGTGGCTGGGTATTAAGAAATTTAAACTTGTAAATCCTTCATAAATTCTTTACCACATCTTCAGTAACTGTGGAAAAGAAGGAAATGAGAGCTACAAATCAGAGATCTGCTCAGTAATGTTTTCAAGGATCGCTCAGATATTCAAAAAGTGTCAAAGCTATGTGTATGAAATGTCATATCCCTTATGACCCCAAGAGACAACCCACTGACTTATCTAAAGATGAACCAACCTATCTCCTTAGAGGAGATAATGATTTGCGCAAATAATTACTTGCATCTAATGCATGAGCAATACACACTGCATAAAAGGAACTAATTTCTCTAAGTTTTTAAGACTTCACATGAGCTACAACTTAGATCTTATCCAGACAATATTAAGATTAACTGAACTCTATAAAGAATTCTCATGCTAATTCAGGTTCGCAATCTGTCCTATTTCATGAGTTGTACCTTTAGACCTTCCTAGTATTTGGTGGGAGTGCATTCTTTCCTCCATTGTGTGTGCCTTCGTTTTCTTTAATAATCCAAGAGAATTTGCCCAAATATTTCTGTTTGCCAGTTGCTTCATTATTGATTTGTGTAGAAACCATCAGTAACATTCAGATGAATCCAGAATATTGATTTATGTCTACTGGCGTGCAATTTAGAATGGGATAACAAAATCTCTATAAAGTAAGTAAAGCTATAGCTTCCACTTTGTTATATTCTTTCTCTTAAGAGCCTCAGGTGTACTTTGTAAGAAAATCTCAACACGGCAGATTTAGGAAATTCAAGTGCAGTCATTACCAAGTGACAGAAAATACCTGCATACTTTGTTTTACACCTTCAGTGTTTGGTAAGAAATTAAAGGAAACTTATCATGCCTTACCAAATAACTTGGTTTCATGGCTTGGTAAAGTGTTATTGCACACTTTGAGATAAGTTGGTTCATGTTTAGCATTCTTTTTTAGTATAAAAGGTAAAGGTAAAGGCCCTCCCGTTGATCGTCGATTTGCTCGAGCGGGCCCAGTAACGTCTCCATTGGAGACTTTGTTGTTACTGTTTCTGGCATATCCAATACTCTTGGTAGCTTGCCAGGCTCTCCGAATAACATATTTTAGAGTGAAGTTCATTTAAAGTCTTTAAATTGGGAATTTCTTGCTTCCTATGTTGTCAATGAATCTAGAGAGTTTAGCCATATTTCTCACTGGTGGACAAAGAATCCTTTAGTCATTCTGATACTGAGTAGACCCACAGAGGAAGTTCCATGTTCTGACAAGTGTAAGCGTTCAATGTATCCAGAGGCTTCTCTCTCACATGTGAGAGTCCCTAGGTGCAGTGGCGGGTAATGTCAAGTCACTAGTATCTGTCACAGGCCTCGGGGTTGGGCGTGACTGCAACAGGTGACTCTTGGGAAGTAACCTCTTCATTCTTACCTTGACTCTAGCCAGATCGTGTGGATTGAGGACTGAACCCTGGTAAAATTCCACCTGAGTGAAGTGCCGTTTGAACAGTGCTTCCAGCTCCAGGTTTGGGGAAATGCTGTGTAGGGAAAGAAGAAATGGTTCTTAACAGAAGAGAGGCAGATAGTTCTGCCTCCTCACTCCCTCATCTCAAATTCCCAGAGAGGGACTCTGGCCAGAGTGTTCACCCTCAAAGCAACCCCCTTCCTTGCTAGAAATGAAAAGCTTGCACTCCAGGGAAGTAAAAGTCCTAGTTCAATGAAAACTAAAATTAGCAGCAAGAGCAAATAAAGAGGTTCATAACCTTCAAAGTCTGAACCTATGGACTAAAAGTTCTTGTATTTTGTTATGAGTAGAAACCCTATTTATGGGGATAAGGAAACAGTTTGGAGAGTGGGAGCATAGCTTTATAGGCAGGTGCCACTGCTTCAATATACAGCATATGTGCCCCCACCAGCACTGACAGGAGTAGCCTCAAACTAAAAGGACAAAGAAACTTGATTTATGAACAGAGAAATGGAGGAGGCCAGGACCTGAAAGACTTGCCCAAGGCTCCCAGAGAGAGCTCCTGCTTCCAGTCTTCTTGAAGGGCCTCGCCCATATTTCTTTACCACATGCACTGAGTCCAATGTCTGAGTCCCAAAAAGGTGACTATGAGCAGCCACGCCCAGAATTCAGTGGCTCTCCGGAACTATCTTTGATTTACGATTTACACATGTACACACAAGCCAGTGTTCTCAGAGCTGAGATGCAAGGAATCTTTTCCATTGGTGGACAGGGATTCAAATCAATAATTAGCCTACTCTTTCATTTATTCATTTTAGAGATGAAATCCCCATAAAGTACTAATGATGTGAGGTACTGGGTGATATACTTAGGTGACTGGGAATCCAGGTTGGTCTAACATTAGTAAGTTCTGAGTAATAATAAGCATGTTTTTGAGTGTTTACTCTGTGGCAGACATCATTTGAAGCACTTGACAAGTACTAACTCACTCAAACCTCAAAACACCCCTAGAGGAAGGTATGTTATTAACCCAGAGCTCTGAGAGGTTAATTAACTGGGCCAACTACTATGCTGCTGACACTGACCGATGCTGGGGCCATGGAGGTGAATCCTGGCCGATGAAGCATTAGCAATCAGCTTGTTGATTCAGACTAAAGCAGCTGCCTGTGCGAATCTGCCAGTCCTCCAGATCCAGCACAAGTTGTGCTTCTTTCAGGAAGCCTTCCCTGGTAATCCAGGAAGTCATGCTCTCTCTTGGGTACACCATACTATTATGCTACTCAATTAAACTGGCTCTACCCATTAATAGTAAAGTAAGTAAAGGCCCTCCCGTTGATCGTCGATTTGCTCGAGCGGGCCCAGTAACGTCTCCATTGGAGACTTTGTTGTTACTGTGTCTGGCATATCGAATACTCTCGGTAGCTTGCTGGGCTCTCCGAGAGGGGCAGAGGAATCGAACTCGGGTCGGCCATGTTGGCCGCTTGTAAGGCAAACGCCCTACCCGCTGTGCTATTGCTCCAGATCAATTATTTTTTATCTATAAATGAGCAACTAGTATAAGGGCAGAATCTGTGGGTTATTCTTTAAAAAGCTATTCCTGTGCCCATGGCTGGTTAATCTTTGCAGAGCCTGGAGAAGTCAGAGGTAGGAAGGACAATGTTGGTGCTCAAGCATCATGGTTGATTTGGTGTTCCTTGAACTAATGCTCAAAGATGCTGTACAGAATGGAGCTTGTCATAGCTCAAGGGACTCAATGCAGGCTGGGCCCACAGCAGTCATCACCATCATGAGCTCTGTCCCATGGCAGCATGTGGCCTCAGATCATCTCATAGTGGTCTTGTGTCTATGAAAGAGGGTAGTGCCCCCTGACAACATGCTGGACCCCCTCGAGTTGAGGGGGCATTATCAGGGGACATTATCCTCTTTCACCAGAAAGAGGATTGGGAAAAGCTTGGAACCTTAACAAAGTGGGTGCCAGGAAAGCTATTGGCTTCCTCACCCCTAACACAAATATAACAGGATCTAGCTCCTAAACTGATGACGCAGCTAAATATGTTTCTTCCTTTGTGATAGGAGATACTATTTTTTTAAAAAAATGGAATCACCATGAGAAACAGAGTTACAAAACTGTCCATGGTCGAATTTCAGTCATACAATGTTCCAATACCCATTCCTCCACCAGTGTGCATTTCCTACCACCAGTGTTCCCAGTTTCCCCTCTGCTGTCCTCTCCCTGAACACTTACTGCATACCTGACTCTGTTCTGTATACTTTTCATAGACTGTGCTTTTCATCCTCACAACTTTCTAAAGAGGGAGATGAAAACTATGGTGATCTCCCTCATTTTATGGAGATGGACAATTAGACCTAGAAATTTTATTGCATAAATTGTTCGTTCAGTCATTGGAGGAGTTAGGATTTGGACTGAATACTCTGAGCATAAACTTTTAGTCCCTCCGTGGGTTAAGTGAGAGATACAGCACATGTTCCATATTGGAGTTATCCCCCTTTTCTTGTGGCCATTACCATGATTCTTATTGCTTCTTATGCTTCTGTTTTGCTCAGTTAAGATACTCTCCCACCTTACACACCTTGTAGCTGTATGACCGCACCAGATCACTCCACATCAGAGCATATGGACACACCTGGTTCTCATAGGTACAAGCTATAAAAATGTGTCTGACTGCAGAAGCTCCATGGCTATTTGCTAGAATCATCTCCGCAGAAGGAGCTTGTTCTCATCATGAAACTAATAAGTGGCTTCCCTTCCTGTTGGTTCCACAGCACCATTGAGGCCAGTAAGAATCCCGGCATATTCAACATTGTCTCACCTCCCAATGCTCCCCCACACCCCTAATTCTTACAGAATCCCCCGGGGGCACCTAGTTAGGTTATGGGTCTCAAACATAACAGGGGGCATCTTACTTGTGAAGAAAGACAATCTCCACATTGACATCATCCCGGTCCTTGTGCAGAAAGTCCTTCAGGAAGTTGGAAACACTCTCCAGGGTGATGTGTCCACAGACCACAATGTGCCTGAATGGGAGAGGCCAATTAGAGGAAGTTGGCACAGCCAGGACCCAGGATCCCACCCCTGGCAAGACAGGGAAGCTGCAGTTACAGTGAAGCGCCCACCTCCCCCCAGGCCTTGCAAGCCCAGCTCCCATCCCCAGCAGCTATGAGGCAAAGCAGCAGTGCTGGCAGGTGCTCAGAGACTCCTTGACAGAATACGCGTGTGGCTTCTCACCTGAGGCTGCACAAAATCCTATTAAAAGCCCAAGCGTTTGGCCAAGTGGTTTTATGCATTTAACAATAAGTGACATTATGCTTGCGTTTAAATGCTGCATTATCAAGTCCCTTGCAGATTCATATCTCCTCCTTTCTGCCCACAAAGCGTCCTCTCGAGAGATTTACCGAATGAGTCTTGGTTTATGACATAGAGCTTATCAGGTAATGAGATAACAAATCTTGCTGAAACGATGATTTTGTGTGTAAGAAAGCGGACTTTTATCAGGGTGGCTAATGTGCGCCTTGACACATTATGGGCTTGGCTGGCCATAAGCAGTAAAAAGGAAATTTTGCATTTTTCCACCATAACTCCTCCGACAATGGGGGCAGGTAACACTTTACAGTAAGTGAGCATTACTCAGGGCTAAATAGGAATGAGACGCCTCTGGAATCAAAGCCAGTGTGCCAGTGGTGTGTCCCAGCTGCTTCCTGCGGGTGCCCAGGATGGCCAACAGACAACAGAACTGACTTGAAGATGGGGAGTAGTCAGAAAAAGGCTGAATCTGGGCTTGGTTATCTTGATTCAGGTGCAGGGAAAGTCTTGGGGATGGGGGAGACTTAGATCAGGGCACCCTTGAGCTGAACCCCTCTTCTAGAACTGCTGGAGCATTTGGGCTCCTGAGAACATCTGATTGTGCCACTGGACTCTCAGTGGCCACTTAGAGTCACTGCACGATGCGCACTAAAATCCAGCACTTGGGTGCATGACTTAGCCCGAAGAACAAAAGCTGGGGTCTGAGAGTGGAGGTGAAGCCCACTGGCATATAAGAAAGAGACTGGCAGGAAGGCTCAGTTCAGATTCCTCTGCCCTCTGGAAGGCTGAGAGTGGCAGAGGCTGTGTCGCTGGTTGGGTTCAGAGGCATGGGCAGGTGGCAGATGTAAAGTATGGTCATTTCGTGGGAAAAATATAGAATGGCCAGGTCCACTGTAGTCCCTAATTGCTCTGGGCACATTCCAAGAAGGCAGAAAGCTCATTGGCTGGAGGCGGCCCTAATCGGAGGCAATGATGATTGCTTATGCGGTGTTCCATTAGCTGCCATTACAAGAGCCTGCCCTTTCGTGGTAATTTGGTGCTTGACTAAGTATGTGAGAATAATGCCGTAAACTCATTGGTGAAAGGATAATGATGCAGAACAAAGAGTAAATCAATAATCCACACGCTGCAGTTAATAATATTGCCATTATGAGCTGTTATTGTTACGGTGCTGCATTTAGCATGGGGCAAGCAGAGGCCAGCTTGGGGAGGCAAGAATGTCCATGGGCTCTTGAATCAGCAATGTCTAAACATGGTCACCTTGCCCTCTGGCCAGTCCCTGTTAAATGGAGGAAAGTCCCTTGGCTACTCATGTTCAGATTCCATGCCTAAACCCCAAAGGACTGAGTCTCTCTTGGAACAGACTGCATGGCAGAATCCGTGCAGTAAAACTGGACACTTGGATTATGTACATTTTATGGTTTACCAAGATTAAAATCTTTCTTGTGGTATTCAGGCCTTTATGTGGGCAAAACATGTTGCTGCAAATGAATCTGCACATTTAGAGTCAGATTTTGGATTGTGAGTTTGTCTCAGGTGAGTAGAAAGGGACTAAGAAGCAGGTCTTCGCACCTGTTTTAACTTTGACACCAAAAGAAGTGGGGTAACTTGGGGGCCATTCTAGAACTTTCTGCCCACACCATTCTACAATCAAGAGGAAGGCCAAGATGGATCCAACTGAATGACACCCAACCCCCACAGGACAGATGTGGCTGAGTTCTTTCTGTTCCAGGGTTCTGAAAGGAAGTTGGATCTGATGTCCAGCATGCACCTCTAGGTGAAATATTTCCTAGATGAGGAAGCTGAGAAGCTAAGACTTTCCTCAACCTCCTGCACAGGCACTGCCCAGCACAAGTTCCATACCAGCAGAAGCTGGTTATTATTCAAAGCTGTACTCAAATCAATGATCGGTTGGGGGACTGCTTGAACATTCATCCTTCCTATCCTGTATGCAAAGAACTGAATGAACAGCTGCCAGCTTCCCCTCTTCCGCTTCCGAAATCATTCATCTCCAGGACAGATGTGTGAGAAGTGGAAGAGAAAGAGATGAGTTCACCCCTTTCACCCCTGAATCAAAGGCTCAGCCAGCTGATTTATTCAGCCTTGGAAAGAGTCAGGGTTCTTTTCGTTGAAAATGTGCTGGGTACATATAAAATATATTCCAATGCAATCAATATTATCCCTTAAGCCTTTAATTAGCTTTCACTTCTTTTAAGAAGTAGACAAATGCTGGCAGGAGAGAGGAGGAAAAAAAAAGGATTGACTTTTCTCATTTGGTGCTAGCTGTCCAATACCATTCTAGACAATTGAAAATATATATCTTTTAGCTTCAGCATGATTTCTGGGGTGGAGAGCCGTCTTTATCAAAAGGGAAGAAAAAAATCTTCCTTCAACATAATTGGTATTTTTGCTCAGAAAGGCGAGATTGATTGAAAGCAGATTGCCTTTTTGCCCAAGGAGAGTTATTAGGTACATTATCATGGCAACCTTGGAGAACCCATATTGTTCCAATCTGTCCTATATCTGATCTGAAGATTTACGGCTTCCCCCCTTCGTGCCAATAATCATTTCCCTCCATTTTGTTTTCCATACAGTGAAAGCTATCAAGGAGCCCACATATTGAAAATGTTTGAATGCAGTTAGGATTGATGGATGGAGAGAAGCTGCCTCTCTAACTCGGCATGAGGAGATCAGCTCCTCCCAGCCCACATCTAGGGCAGTGAACGTGCTCCCTCCAGGAGCACAAGGAATAGAGCATCAAAGGCGAAATTTTCTTTCCCATAAACATTTTTAGGACTTTTGAAAATCTAGTGGCAGCAGTTTTGAAAAGGATATTATTAGGAGACAAGAAGCTGCATTTCTTGCATCAACAATGACTGAGGATAAAGTTCAAAATGCTCTAATGTGGAGAAGGGGGCCCTTAGCAGCAAAGTAATGGCTGTTTATGATACATGATTTGTAGAATGCCAAAAATACTCTATTCCAAAATCATCTCTGTTGGGTCCTATGATACCTACAAATCCGCATGAGGTTCATACTTTGAGAGCCCCGTGTTCACACAGCACAGAAAAACTAAATGGTTTGGGACAAAGTACCCATTTAGCATTTCACAAGTACCAAATCAGATCCTACGAGAAGAAGATAGCACTTAATTAGGGAGGTTTCCTGGAGGATTTGTTTAATTAGAGAATATATATGAGGGGGCAACAGCATATACATAGGAAGATTCATGGCTAACTTCAGTAAATCAGTACAGGACATATTTAGTATGCTCAATGATCCCTACAAGTTTCACCCAATCCTTAAGAAATCTGTGTTCCTACCTACCATCTTTATCTTTTCAGAAAGCCTCTCTGACCCTCAATTTCCTCAGTTACTTTAAGTCATATAGCAAGAGATTTGTCCAAAATGAATTCTAAGGTGTAGGTGATGAAATGAGAGAGAAGAGGCTTGTGTATTTCATATTCTGCTCCTTTGTGTCTGGCAGGACATGGCCACCAAGGGGTTCTCTGGGACACGAAGAGAAGGTGAAGTGAGAGAGGAGGAACCTCAGAGGGGTCTTCAGTGGACTAGTGGTCTTCATCTGGACACAAAGGTGGACAGAAATAAACCTAAGACATGACAGTGTTGGATCAGGTGCTACTGATTTGGATTCAGTCCCCAGCATTCCACAGGACTCCTGAGGCCCACTAGGAGTGATCCCTGAGTGGAGAGCCAGAAGTAAGCTGTTGAGAACAGCCATATGTGATCCAGAAACAAAAACCCCAAAATCATGACAGTATTGCAGCATCACCTGATTCTGTACCTGGTGGACAGGTCAGAGGCCTCAAGCCAGAGCTGAGTGACTGGAGTAACTCTAACCCACCTGGTAAAGTAATGTCCCACCACTTGGCAAACAGAGGAGCTGAAAGTGGCACAAACATATTTTAGACAATAAGGATAATCTCAAAGATCCACTTACAACGGGAACAGTGTGCTAAGAAGAGTAGTTCAAGCCATTGTCACCTGTGGCTCTGGGGGTTGAACATTTTTAGATTACGGGCAATCTTAATGACTGATTTCCAAGAGGTCCTGGCCACCCTACTTGTGAAGATGGTCAACAAACTCAAATTAATTACAGGCAGACTCTTTGCTCTGCAAAATTCTGTCCAGTTCCGTGAATATCTCCTTCTTGGGATAAATGTTAATGGCTTGAATGCAAAGATTCATCTCACATGCCTGAGGAAGCATTTTCTTTTCTCTTATTTTTCGTTTTGAGGCCACACCTGACTGCACTCAGGGCTTACCTCGCCTGGTTTTTTGCTCAGGGATAACTCCTGGAAAGGCCCTAAAGACCATATGGGATACCTGGGATCAAACTCTGGTTGGCCATATGCAAGGCAAGTGCCCCACCCACTACACCATCACTTCAAGCCCCCGAGACAGCATTTTCAAGAACGAAATCATAGTAGATGACATTCTGTGGAAAGGACTTACTCCTCCCTCCTGGCAAGCATGTCCAGTTGGGGTGAGGGTTCCATAAACACAGTGTGGGAATCCTGGGAGTATCCCAGTATCCAATCTCAGCATCAAATGGTTGAGTTTGGCTCACTCAATACATTTTTTTAAAAAATTTTAAAAATTCTTGAAAGCCAGAGAGACAGGGGGAGGAGCACAGGCATTAAGGTTGGAGGCCTAGGCTTGACCTCTGGGATGGCATGGCTCCCTGTGGCTG